GAGAACTGTTGTCAGAGCTAATACTGTCAGCGTGAAAAATGCGTACCGAAAAAGTGTTGCAAAAATATCAAAATTCCTAGAAAAATATCTAGGTTAAGAATCGAAAATTTTAGAGTTAAACGAAGAGCGGAACTAATTAAACTAATACTGTTAGTTTAACTTAAGTGACAATATAAATAGAAAAGGGGATCAAAACCCTAGGTTTTTTATGAAGAAATTCAGCAGCTAAGTGTGGCTTCCCTTTGGAGTTTCCTGGAGTCTTAGCCTTCTTTTCTAAAGTTTCCATCTTTTTCCTCCTCTCCTCCATTAAAATATCACCCAACCATTAAAGTTCAAGTCTTGTTGAAGGAGAACCCATTGTTGAAGGATTTGGGTGTTTTCTCAATCTCTAAAGCTTCCATTTTTTTCTGTTCTCAAAAGAATCCAAGGTAAATTTAACTACCTCTTTGTAAATCCATAATTTTAATTATAATCCTTATTATATGGTACTGTTGATTCAGAACCCATGTTAATTTAAAGAAAACATTCGTATACTGTGCGCTATCTTCCTCTGTAGATGGCTTTATGTTTTGTCGTTTTTATGGTTTGGTTGCATTGATTTGCGTGACTCCAAATGAAATTTCAGCACTTTGAAATTGATCACTGTTGCTCATTGTAAATAATTCGTCCGCTGGTCGAAGTTGCTTTTTATATATATATATATATATATATGAGAAAAGTGTTTGTCATTTTAAATGTTGTGAAAAGTTAAACTGCATCGTTTCATTCTATTTTTTGTTTTTTTTTTATTTGTTTTTTCTCTCTCTTTTGTCTTCAACAAACGTCTCACCGAAGTTTACGATCACCAAATCCATCATCTCTCTGTTTTTCTTTCGTCTTCAAGTTTATGCAAAACAACGTCTCGCCGAACTTTACGACCACCAAATCCATCTTTCTCTTTCTCTCATTCAACATTCTGTATCTTCTCTAAAATGCATTCTTTGTTCACTTCGTTCTATCAAAATGCATAACTTCTAGCTCAACGTGTTTTTGATTTCCCTCAAAATCTGACCCTGATTTCTTCATTTTGGGGATATTAAGTCTCATTTTGTTAAAGTTTCACAGGTTAGTTGTGGCACGATGCACTTTACATTATACATGAATTCAAATGCTTTCTCTTTGCAGCAAATCATCGTTATGTGTACTTATGATTTAAAACTTTGATATGATCTGATATGATTTAAATTTGAGTTGAATCATGAAAAATATTTTTGCCATTTGGGTACCCATCTGATTATTTAGGCAGAGCCTTGATTTGTTTCGGCTTCAAGCTTGAAAAGTTGCTAATTTTCTCACTTATTTATTTGTGAGCTTTAGGACATGTTTGTATTTTCTTTTGTTTCTTGTCAGGATGATGAGTAACTATTTGTAATTGTGTTAAAAATCATATTTTTGTTTCCCGGAGATGATTGGGTTTTTTAAATCGTCATATTTGCAGAAGGATGTGTGGTCGCTTCAGCTGCAGTTGTTGGATTCCATATAAAAGTGCTGAATAAAAAGAGGGACAAAGACTGCAAAATGAGCTCGTTCATGAACCCACTGGTAACTTATGAATTTCTCCTTCCTTTCTATATTTAAATTGAATGATAAAGTTTTTTTTTTTGTTGGTGAAACGATAAAGTTGTTTTAATTTTAACACTGTATTGGTTGATATGAGACATTTCATTCTGCTCTTATTTGTTATTTGATTCTGTAGTAATATATGATTGTTACGTTTTGTTGTGTTCTGATTATTTGATTTGGGATAGTTAAATATTGCAAGATATTATAGCAGTAGCTGAGTTATGAAAGTGTCATGAATGATTGCCTAACTTAATTAAAATTAGGGGAAAATACTTACTTACTTACTTACATTTCTCTTGTAGTCATGTGCTTAGTCATCGACTTGGTGCAAGATCCTTAAGCCTACACAAAACTTATCTTCATCAAGTTCTTTTCTTTGACAAGTTTCACCTTCAATGAACCATCATATGGGCTATTACCACCCATATGACTAGCAAGAAACAGCCTATCTTGTAGAGTTCCCTCCAATACCCCTTAATTTTCTCAATTGATGGATAATCCTCACCCTCTCCTGGTCCTCCTTTATCAGTTCCTTCTTTGTACCTGCTGTTGCACGAAAAGAAAGTAATAAAGCATGTTACAGCAACTGGAATTTGCGTGCAAAAGTTAAAATATCTCTCATCAATGAGTATAAAAGAAAAACCACGAGCTATGCAAATAATTCAATACTCAAAGCGGCAAAAATGGATTCAAGGACACAGCCAGCAGCTATCTTAATTATTACTATTATAAATAGGGAAAAGTGTTTGTCATTTTAAATGACAACACTATGTCCTTTTAAGTTAAACTGCATCGTTTCATTCTATTTTTTGTTTTTTTTTATTTGTTTTTTCTCTCTCTTTCGTCTTCAACAAACGTCTCACCAAATGCTAGCATCTTCACCATTTGTCCGACGATGCAGATTACGCTGCGTCGCAGCAAAAAGTAAGAGTATCGCCCTTTTCACTTCACAATTTTTGATGACCCTTTGGTTCCTCCCGTCCAATTGCATTTCAGAGTAGGGTTTCGCGATTCAATTGAATAATCTGATCTTGCACTGCTTTTTATCCTTTCAAACTTTAACTGAGGTTGCGAGGTTTTTTTTTTTCCTGATTGATTCAGATTAGGGATCGGCAAGCATAATGCTGGAGAGCGACAGAACCAAACAGAGCTCCTCGTCTAGTGAGCGGACGGTGCTGAAATTGTATATTCGAAGGACAATGTAGCAATTCATCCGACTCAGTTCGCCTCCGAAAGAATTAGTGGAAGACTGAAGTTGATTAAGAAAACCTCTTCCTTGTTTATGGTAATATTGGTTGGTTGTTTCGTTACTTTTTTTTTTTGCTCCTGTGAAGATATTTGTTATTTTCTTCCTCAAAATGTGGTAACTTGGTAGATTGGATTAGATGGAATTTTTTATTATTAATGCAATATTCTAGTTCTAATTTTTTTTATTATTCTCTTTATCTTAATTCCAATTCCAAAGTGGGCACAGCTAATTTTGCAAACTTAAAATTTACACTCATCTCAATTCCAGGTCCTTCATCTCAAGCAAGTTTCTTATATATCATGTATGAAATGCTATAATTGGATTGTAGGTCACTTTGCTTAGGGATAGAGGTGTTTGTATGTATTATTTGATTCAAATGATTTTTAAGTAATCTTTTTCATTGATTTCACAATTTTTTAATGAAATGAAATCTTGAGTGTTGTTAATGGCTTAATGCTATATATCCTACTGTATGACAAGCAGGTTCTCAGCTAATGGTGAAAACAAAGCAAAGGCGCACGGGAAAAGTTCCTCTAAAAAAAAGTGGTACTTCACATTGCCTTATTGATTCTACAAGCTTTGATAATCAGCATGAGGATGGTGATTGATTCTCCTGGACAAAATTGGGAATGGAAAACTACCTAACAATAGGGGTTTACCTATTTTGCTTGCTATGAACTCAGATGCAAAGAATCAGGCTGCTGCTTTGAAGGATCCAAGTCTCAGTCTCAATGTTGAAGAGGAGGTTTATAAGATACATTAGTATATCAAAGTGGCTGGCACTAGTTTATCTGCCATATGTAGTTATTGGCAAGGAGCATGTTTCCAATTTCCACACTTTCCCTTTCATTTATACCCTTTTTTTAAGCTAAAAAAATCCTGAAATGTAAAGTCATGAATATACCGCATGGAAAGGGCTGTGTTAAGAATCTTACACTTGTAGTTATGAGAAACTTCAATTATGTTATTATTTACATATGTCAATTGAAATCGCAAATTTGACTCCTACTCTATAACCATAATCGATTCCATTTTTATGAATTATGAGGACTATGGCAGATCTTTCCTTATGATATTTTCCTGGCATGAATAGATTGTGTGATGGTTTCGTTTCTGGCTTTTGTCCCTTTTCCTTTTCCTTTTTTTTTTCTTTTTTGAATGTGTCAACTTCAATCCCAGTTCACTATCTCAATGATTAAACAAGTGTGTTGTAGTGGTATTAATTGTATAATTGGCTCTTCAGCACATTAAGAGTCTATACTAGTTAATAATGTCAAAGGATATAAAACAATAATGATGATGAAAAGTGCCTTAAGATTACATTAACTGTGATCTTCTTAGTTATTTCTGTAGTCATATAATAGTTTTTATTTTATCATGGTGATGGGTACATCCTACTAAGGAGATTGACGAATAAAAAAATGGAATATTTTTATTTTTACTCTAAAGTGTGATACCTCAATTCGTTGGGCTAGGATCAACGCTGAAAAGAATAAATGAGTCATCAACATCTATAGTAAAAAGATCGAATCAAGACTTTTTTTTCCCTCTATCTTTTCATTTTAAGTTTTAATTTTTTTCACGATAAAAGCAATTTCAAGATAACGTGTTATGCCACTTCTGCAACAAGTAAGATCACAATTGCCACTTATGTGAATTGAAACTGTTGTAGTTTGATGTCAAACAATAACTTTCTTGACTACAGCAAGGCAATATCCATCACTCTTGATTATTCAGCAAAGGATGGCCAACAAAAAATATTACATAACCAAGAGCTAGGAATACATGCAGTAATTTGCTCTCCAATCAATTTTCCTAGAAACAAAAAATCTAATAATCTCCTACTAGAATTTATTTTAATAACAAAAAAAATCTAACGTTCTGCAAGAACTTATTTTAATATCCATGAAAGACATAAATTAAGTACACAAAAAATAACCTCCTAATAACATTAAACCTATCCAACAACCTAATTAACAGATGCCAAAATCCTCTGCAATAAATATCATGAACCCAAGATCTTTGTACCTGAAAAATCACAATACATGCAAATATAAGCAGTTTTGAACTCATGATTTGAACTTAGAAAATTGTTCATAATAAATGAGTGCTTACCAAAATGCAATAATGAAAATATATGCAATAAGTATTATTCCTTTTGCTTCTCTCTTGCAACATCCATCTACAAATGAAATTTCACAAACTAATCATCAAGTTTAAGGAGAAAAACACATACAAAAATAAAGTCTTAAGAAATAAATACCTTGTGCTTCTGACAACCGGTCTTATTATGACCCTTTCCTCCACAATAACTGCAAGTCTTTTGTTGTTTTGAAGATAGTTCAATGCCAGATTTTATTCGTGAAGCAACCTTAGGACGCCCTTTAGTTTTGATTGGATGGATGGGATCACGCACATCATTGATGAGTGAAACTTGCGAGACAATTCCAGGAGTTAGTGAAGGAACAATTTGGGGAATTGCTTCATCTTCAATTCTCTTTTTCTTTCTTTCCAATTGTTGATGAATAAAATCAGCAACAAAAGCGTCAAACCTTCTAATTTCAGAAATACAATCTCTTGCTTCAGCAATAGCCATATTGCACTTGGAGTGCACTGACCACAAGGCTAAAGCACTAACTTCATTATTAGTTGTTTCAGCATGATCGGCTATAAGATTTTTAACCGTATAGCTTGCATTCATTGTCCATCTAGACAAAATATATTTTTCAGGAATGATTTTTATTTGTTTCTTCTTCATGATGTATAGAATATGTTTGCACAAAATTCCTATAGTCTCAAATTTTGCACACGAACAATTAGCTGTGAAGGTTTCTGTCAAATGATATTCAACAATTGCCCACCACTCTTTATCAACTTCAGGAGATCCCACCCAATACCTAAAAGAAAGGGATATTAGAGAAAATTAGTTGCACTTTTTTACATAAATTTAACCTATACACCTAATAGTACCTGCTATGATTTTCGTCCATTGAAATCTTTTCATGCTCAAAATCAAGTACGGCTGCCATCCACTCCTTTTTAAAGATATTAAATATTTTTCTTGTGTAGCGCTCACCAGCTATTGCTTCAATTTGAAAGGAAGTCTCCAAAATAGCTTTTGTATTTCTAGTCTTAAAATCCTCATCTTCTTCGGCATCCCTCCTACACTTGATTGCTTTGTCATATTGGGTAACAAAGTCATTTAACATTGTGTTAGAGTTGACGTATCCATCAAAAAATGCATTGATGCTCTCGCTTCGTCCACTTGTGGTCATTCCGGCCCAAAAAGTATCCTTCAAATATGCCTTTGCCCAATGATGACGTGAAACATACATGTTAGCCAACCAAGTACCAGCTTTAATATCATATTTAGTCCTTAACGTTTCCCACTTACCTTCAAACCCATCAATGTCTCGACTTTTATACCATGCATGAAAGTCGGTATCAAAACTCTCCTTAAATTGTGCGCGTAGTGCTTGAGTATGTTCCATAATATGTTTTTTCATGTGCCATGCACAAAAACGATGTCGTGCTCCTGGAAATATCTTGGCAATTGCTTTTCCCATAGCTTTGTCTTGATCAGTGATGATAGCAACTGGAGACTTTTCAAACATACATGCTCGAAATTGTTCAAACAACCATGTATATGTTGCCTCCGTTTCATCTTCTAACAACGCGGCAGCAAATAAAATTGATTGCCCATGGTGATTAACCCCAACAAAAGGGGCAAAAGGAAACTTGAACTTATTTGTTTGGTAAGTCACATCAAACACAAGGACATCACCAAATTGAGCATATGCAGCTCTCGACCTACCATCCGCCCAGAATACACTTCTTAATGTTCCATCTTCCGCCAAATGCATATCAAAATAAAAAGATCCATCAAGAATAGACTTCCTTTGAAAGTGTTTGATAATGCCTTGGCATTCTCGCCCTACATTATTCTTTCGCTGGCTTGATATAATAGTGGTGATTTGAACTGGAGTAATATTAACATCTTTGTCCATAGCATTCACAACCTTTGAGATTTTTGAAGAAGTTAAACCCTCCTCATAAAGCATAGAAACAAGAGATTTAGTAACATTTGAGCGTCGTAGTTCATTTTGAGAAGGAAACTTTTTCCCCTTTGCTGGAGTGTTAATCAATGGATGATTGTGTGTATCATTGAACTTCTCCACTTTCCATACTCCATCCACCAACTTTATTTGTAACATCGCCAAACAATTGGTCCTTGTATCCCTTCGTCTTTTAATTGCGTTATCATTTACTCTTTTGATGCCTTCTTTTGAACACACATATCTCCACCTATATATTTGTTGTGTTTTTGCAATCTTGTTAAAGAATTGCTTACGTATTTCGAAGCCCTTACCTTTTGCATAATCATTATAAAAAGCATAAGCTTCTTCTGATGTCCCAAAGACTCTACATAAAAAGCTGGTCTCGCTGAATTTACTGTCATCATCTCCCATAATTTCATGTACATTACCTTGCATATGATCCTCATCTTCGTTTTCCATAATTTCACAAAGATCATTGTCAATAAACTCATCACCATCTTCGTTTTCCATAATTTCACAATGATCATTGTCAATAAACTCATCACCATCTTTCTCCAAATCAACAACGTCATCATAACATACTAAAATCCCACTCGTGTCGATATCTTCAATAGTTGTTATTTGGGAATGATTCATCATAACAAATTCTTCACTGTGATTCACAAGAACAAAAAATATCACATCTCAATTAAAATTAACTTGACATTGAGAAAGATAAGAATTTTCTTGAAATCTTGGTTAGAACATGGTCGACATTCAAATAAAACTAGTTTCTCAATAAAAAAATATAAACACTACCATAAAATATATATATATATATATAATAATAGTAATAACAATAATAAATAAAATATAAAATATCTGAGAGATTTAGATAAAATATCTTGGATATTTATAATAGTAATAATTAAGATAGCTGCTGGCTGTGTCCTTGAATCCATTTTTGCCGCTTTGAGTATTGAATTATTTGCATAGCTCGTGGTTTTTCTTTTATACTCATTGATGAGAGATATTTTAACTTTTGCACGCAAATTCCAGTTGCTGTAACATGCTTTATTACTTTCTTTTCGTGCAACAGCAGGTACAAAGAAGGAACTGATAAAGGAGGACCAGGAGAGGGTGAGGATTATCCATCAATTGAGAAAATTAAGGGGTATTGGAGGGAACTCTACAAGATAGGCTGTTTCTTGCTAGTCATATGGGTGGTAATAGCCCATATGATGGTTCATTGAAGGTGAAACTTGTCAAAGAAAAGAACTTGATGAAGATAAGTTTTGTGTAGGCTTAAGGATCTTGCACCAAGTCGATGACTAAGCACATGACTACAAGAGAAATGTAAGTAAGTAAGTAAGTATTTTCCCCTAATTTTAATTAAGTTAGGCAATCATTCATGACACTTTCATAACTCAGCTACTGCTATAATATCTTGCAATATTTAACTACCCCAAATCAAATAATCAGAACACAACAAAACGTAACAATCTTATATTACTACAGAATCAAATAACAAATAAGAGCAGAATGAAATGTCTCATATCAACCAATACAGTGTTAAAATTAAAACAACTTTATCGTTTCACCAACAAAAAAAAAAACTTTATCATTCAATTTAAATATAGAAAGGAAGGAGAAATTCATAAGTTACCAGTGGGTTCATGAACGAGCTCATTTTGCAGTCTTTGTCCCTCTTTTTATTCAGCACTTTTAAAATGACATAGTGTTGTGTCATTTAAAATGACAAACACTTTTCCCATGTATATATATATATATATATATATATATATATATATAATATATATTTATATTTTGTGGCTATATATATATATATATTTATAAGATAATAATTATCTAAAATTAAATAAGTTAAATGATGTCTTAGAAAGGATCTCTAGGTTTGAAATGAAAAGGAAAATAATATCTGATTGTCTTGAAATTTTAGAATATGTATATTTATACTATGATGGTCATTAAACCAGATCTGTGAGTGCATTGGATTCTATTTGTGGTGTGGACCCTTGTGATACCGAGTTCGAGTCAGAGGGGCATATACTACAAAAAATAGGCATTTAGCGGCGGTTCATTTTTGGTATACGCGACGGTTACAACCGTCCCTAATTGCAAAAATGCATTTAGCGACGGTTGTAACCATCGCATATACCAAAAATGAACCGCCGCAAAATGCCTTTTTTTTGTAGTAATACAGGTACAGGTAAGCTTTCGTGTCCTCGGATTGATCTGTTGTTTGTTCCACCGACCTCCATGGGAGGGTGGTTTATATGCATGGTATGCTTTTATGAGAATGTTATATGCATTGATATATGCCTGAGATATGTGAATATGTCTGTTGATTACTTACACAATCAGACTGCGACTCTAGTGTGTAAGGCATGTAGTGTATGGAAGTGATGTTGTTTATTTACACAATCAGACTGCGACTCTGGTGTGTAAGGCATAAGATTGCGACTCTTATGTTTAGATGGGTCGCAGACGTGCATAATCCCTATCCTGTTCCCTGGCCAGTCGAACCGCATTTGCATACATCACATGATTACTGAGTTAAATGTTAGCTCGTTGAGCAAGAGATTATAATGTCATGAAATATATGCTTAACATGAACATGCATTGAAATTACTGTTTTGAACTTATATTATGCCTGTAAGTGAGCTTGGGGCGGAAGAGTCCTTGAGGACCCCTTGTCTTACTGATATTTCTTTTTAGAGATCTCACCCCACATTTGGGGCACATTTTTCAGGATCAGGTACCTCGGGGGTTAATACCTCGGGCGATAGGAGGCCGAAGCTGAGTTGAGATTTATGCTTTTATGATGATATGCTTGGATGCTGACATGTTTTACATTTATTATCATGTTATTGGATTTGAGACTTTGTTGGGCTTTGTTGCCTTATTTGATGAGCATGGGGATTGTCCATGCCACATTGACTTGACTTTATGATTTAGCTTGAGTTGTATAAACTATCAGGGTTCGTCCGGTCTACGTGTTTTAGTTCCGTGACTAGAGACACAGTTATTATATATTTAATGAGGTATTTTAGTTAGACGTTTAATTGCAATTTACATACCAACGATGTTTTGAAAAAGAACTAAGTAATCAACTTGGTTAATGTTAATGACGTCATAAATGAAAAGAAAAAGTTATTCCGCATTTTTTTATTAAGCGCAGCTTAATACGATGACATGATAACAAACCGGGTATACACGGGGTGTTACATGAACAGTAACGATACTGTTCATACAGAATGTCATTTTGGGTTTATGGACCCATGATTGACTTATGTGGACTTCTGTAATGATTAAGTTAAGTCAGAATCTAAGTGATTAAGGGCTTGTGGCTTTGTGAGAAGCCTTAAGACATGAAACGTAAAAGAGAAGCGTTGTCTTATGTTATATGCTTATGAGCTATGGTTGTTGATATGATTGCTGGTCCAAAAACAGATTATGATTCTGCTGTGTTTGGACATTGAGCTTGTGTGGACTCTTGGCTTGGATAGTTAGCTTGCAAGGTAAGCTTTCGTGTCCTCGGCTTAGCCATTGTTTGTTCCACCTTGTCCCATGAGGGGATGGTTATATGCATGATGTGTTTTCATGTACTGTTTTATTGAAATGCTATGGAGCTGTTAAGTGCAAAATTCTTATGATATGTATGTGGTGTTTCGCCTACCCAGGAAGCCATGGGGTGGTCCTGGGGGCGGGTACAGCATGGGCTGGTACTGTATGAGTAATAGACGTATTCCTGCACTTCTCTAATCAGTAGAATAGTTATAACACACATGACATGATTATCTGCTGCATTGCACTAATTTTGGAACTGATATTGAATTACTGCTTTTAGAACTTATATTGCACATGTAAGTGAGCTTGGGGTGGAAGATCATTGTGGACCCCTTGTCTTACTGAGATTTCTATTTAGAGATCTCTCCCCACGTTTGGGGCACATATTTCAGGTTCAAATGAGGGGGTTGAGACCTCTAGCGGCAGGAGGCCAGAGCTTAGCTGATTGCATGCTATTATGATGATTTTGCTGGATGCTGACATTGTTTTATTTATGATCACTACTAGAAATATTAATATTTTCAACGGAAATTTTCCGTTGCAAAGTATGAAAATTCCGTTGAAAAATCATTTTTCCACGGAATTTTCAACGGAATTCTTCTGTTGGATAATCCTTCGTTGTAAGGCAACGGAATTTTTTTTTCCGTTGAAATTTGCAACGCAATATTGTTCCGTTGAAAGATTCGACGGAATGTATTTCGTTGAAAGCCTTACTTTTCTGTCAGTAAATAAAGTCATGACATATTATTAAAATAATAAATTCCGTCAAAAAATTCAACGGAAAATATATCGGTCAAAAAATTCTGTCTCAATTTGCAACGGAATTTTACTATAATTCCGTCGATAATCGCAACAGAAAATATCTCCGTGAAAAAATTCCGTTGTAAAATTCAACGGAATTTATCTATAATTCCGTCTATAATTTCAACGGAAAATGATTCTGTCGAAAAGTTAGTTTGCAACGGAATTTATTTATAATTCCGTTGAAAATTTCAACGGAAAAAAATTCCATCTAAAAGTTCTGTAACAGTTTGCAACGGAATTTATCTATAATTCCGTTGAAAATTTCAACGGAATGAAATTCCATTGAAAATTCTTAACCATTTGCAACGAAATTTATATAGAATTCCGTCGAAAATAATATTTTTAATTTTTTAAAAAACATTAATTTCATATGGATTTTAATTCAACAAATATTGACGGCATTTTAAACTACCGGCATAAATATTGACGTCATCTTGAAAACTACCTACGTATATGGGGCCACTAAATCCATATGCATGATTTGGAGTCGATTTTCTCAACCAACGGAATAACCAACCATTAAACTTTTTCATTGCACAAAATTAATGGCAGCCGTTAAAAATCGCCGCTGGGCTTTTGCTTAATAATTAAAAAATAAGTAGCAAAAACAACTTTTATTTTTTAAAAATCATTTAAAATATACTAAATTTTCCTACATACAATCAAAATGATAAAAAATTCTAAATTTTAATTGAAAGAAAATTTTCCTAAATATGAAATATGCTTCTAACAATTAAATATTCTCTGAAAATTATTATAATAATATTCACATGTAAAATTAATATGTATTAACAAGATAACTTAAATTCAAATGAAGTCTAAAGAAAATACATGAAACGAAAGAAAAATGCTAACTAAAGGCTGATGTCTTAACACTTCCCTAGCCACCAAAATATGCACTATTTGTTTGTCACGAAGGATCTGCAATAGAAAAAAATTATACGTAAAATAATTTCACACTTCACTCTATTTCAGGCCAATCCAATATCCACATCAAACAATTCAAAGGTGGATTAAGTGGACTAACCAGTTCAGGTGAGATAGCATTCAATTGCCTTGGTCTGTTCAAAGTGAGAATCCTTACATGTTTCTATCTCTTCTCCAACAACAATCTTAAGATCAAAACCAACAATACCCCATTACATGTTTATCTTAGAAAAAAGTCAAAACTCGTGAAAATGATAGATGATATGAAATAAGATTAAAAATCACCAAAATTCTTTACCAGCATAGTGCCACTGCCATCTATAACTTTATATCCAGACATCAGAAAAGGATCCTTATGCACCTGCAAAAAGAAAAATTGTTATAGGAAATTCACTAGTCACTACAAAAAAATAGTTGTTGAGCCACTAGTCGAGATTTTTTTTTTATTCTTGATTTCTAGGTTACTTTTTACTTGGGTTGTGAAAAATATGAGCGAGATCATGAGAAATGCAAGTGGGAGCTCTAGTTTTACATATATATATCAAGTGTTGATGTAGCAACCTCCAAAGTGTAACTTTATTAAAAAAAATTTACGTATAATAAAAAATACAAACTAGTTTTACAAATAATTCTCTATTAAACCAAAAAATAAATAAATTGCAAAAAAAAAATCTAACTATAAAAAATATTATATGCGTGTAGCTATTTGAAGCTAAAGTATTATTAACAAAAAAGTAAAATATATAAAAAAAAAGTCCACGTATATATGCGTGTTCATATATAGCTACGTATACTTTTTTGCTCTAAACCTTATATATATATATATATAAGGCTACGTATATATATAACGCTACTTATCTATCTATATATAGTATAAGGTTACGTGTATATATATATATATATATATATATATATATATATATATATATATATATATTCTATAGAGCAAAAAAGCTACGTATCTATCTATATATAAGGCCAATATTTGCATATTCAGAGCCACGTATCTGAGAAATATATAGAGCAAAAAAGAACATATGAATAAGACCACAATAGGTATCTACATGTTATTGCTTTTTAAATAAACATACCAACATCATAAAAACTTATAAAAGCTAAGCTCTGACAAGCAAGAATTTAAGGCAATTTGACTTACACATAACCCTGCCAATGGATCAATGGCAATCACAACTCCATGACAACTGCGCAAGGTATGTTTCTCTGTAAGAAGCAATTTTCCATTCGTTCCACTTGCCACCGGTATTACATATATATATCCTTAATTTCTGAATTTGAAAATGAAATTCCTCAAGGTATTCCAGATTCTGCAAAATTTGAACAAGCAGACCATTTTTTCATATTTTTTAAAAAAACAATTCCACAAACAACTCAAGCTAAATACCAAAACACGTCAATATGCAGACTTAGCAAAATATTACTAAGTTATCATCCTTCCTTTGCTTATTATTTCAGTCTCCATGAGTAGTCTATGTAAAATTAACAAATTTGGGACAGGGTGGGGAGTTGGGGACAACTAAAGTACACTGGAAAAGAGACAAATTGTTAACTTCTAAAGGGTCAGGCAAAAGTAAAAACATCTATAAGAGTAAGAGTTTTTTTGAAAAATAAAAATTCAAAATAACAAAGACCCAAACCATCATCCGGCTATCTCCAACAAAAAATTTATAGGAAATACTGCATTCCAAGCTGCTAGCCTACCATTATTTGATGGTTTGATTCAACTACTAGTAAAAATAGATTTCTATCAGTGAAAGATAGGAATACAATATCTTGCAAGTAGCAAGGAAATATGTAACTGCTCATATTTAGGAGTCTTTCTGGTGAACATTATAGATATGAAATTCAAATAATCTTGTGGTGATAAGTATTACCTGAATAACTCGTGAAGACTCTAAATAAAATTCTCTAAACCATAAGAAACCAAGATCTGTCAATGTTGCAATAGTCACTGCAAGCATCATCACCCAAGTCAATTACACTGAAGGATGAAATAAGGCAATGAAGCAAAGCATTCTACATCATTTAACTGTTTCAAATGGTAGAGGACCAAAATCATTCAGAATTAACTTCTATTATTGTAAATCACCTCTGAATTCTTTCCAGATTTTTCTAAAAGAATTAGCGGTATTGTGACCTCTCATTTGGTAAGCTTATAGTACAATAATCAGCAGATAAATGGCAATTGTAACAGCTAAACCATAAGAACAAAAACTGAGCTCGGATGCTTTAAAAGGGCCAATCTTCACTATCAGGTCCACATGGCTGGGGCAAACATAATCTAGGGAATACAAGTAAATTGCACCTAAAAAGCTAAAGTTTATTCAGCCGTTAATCTAATCAACCAATAGCAACCAAAAAGGGATCACAGTAACAAAATACTACAACTAATTTGAATGAAAATTTGAAAGAATAAATGGCAACACCTTCACTGTATCGACCATCCTTTGCCAAGAAAAATAGGAAGTTTTTTCACCTGTCATGGATATTTATTTACTCTTAATGAAATCATAATTAGTACTTAGTACCATTTAATATTAAAAGGAAAATACCGCTGGTGGTTTGTTGGTGAAGAACAAGCTCTAACATAAATAATGGGTCTTTATATTGGCAAGATTGCTCAAGAACTGCAAGCTACTTGTTAACCTCCTCAACCTCTTCTAGATCAGTGGTATAAGCATGTGATATCTCTTTGCCCCAAACCCAAGCCTGCACAGTGTCTCCAACGCTCTCTCCATCCCCAACTAAACAGAAAAGAGAAATTAAATTAAATTATTTGAATTTAAAAAAAAATGAGAAAATTGGAACAGGACAAACCGTGAATGTATATATGGGAGTTACGGAGAACTTACGAGGAGGCCGAAATTGTAGCCAACGATGACAGTGTTGGCAATAGAAGTGGCAGCGAGTTCAACATCGCCGAGGTGACTCGCGAAGGCATAGGTAACATCGTTCGTGGTGAATGCTAACACGCGGCTGAAGATAGAGGGACCCACGATTAGCCATAGCTTCTAGAGGGTTCTTGTAGCCTCGATTTGCGATGGCCAAACCCGAGGGTTCTTGCAGCAAAGGAACAAGTGGTGTTCGTACAACTCAACGGTGCCAAAGATGGGGCTTTTGCCGGAAATCAGGTGAAGGAGTCCGAACTCAGCATCGGCGGCAGCCGCGGAGCCAGCGAAGAGAAGACCCTCGTTCTAGAAACTTCACGGAGACGCTCGAGTTTGTCTGAGAGAGTGATGGGGGAAGAATGAGAAGAGCACGAAAGGATTGTAAGTGTGAGGGGTTCTTCTCTCTCTGCTGTTACCCATCATCGTGAAAAATTAAAAGAGAGGGAAATAATTTGTGTTAGGAGGGAAGATAACAAATAGGGAAAAATACCAAATTTAAAATTAAATAAATTTTAGAATGATTAAATTATATAATTATAAAGATAATTAATTGTTAATTATAAATTAAAATGATATATTTTATGCTAATTATAAAACTTTTGTTAAGAATATTAACTAATTTTGGGATCATATATAAATTTATCAATTATTATGTGCTAACTATAAATTTGTAATATTAAGCAATTGATAATTTATAAATTATATTATAAAATTCTGAATCAAAATTTTGGTTTTTGGTAAAAAATCTAATTTAAAATTTATTTATATGTCATCCAACAGTGCAAGTTCTTTTGAAAGTATCAACGAACCAAAATTCCGTTGGAATTTTCAACGAAAAATTATTCCGTTGTAGTTTTTAACGGAAAAGACCAAAATTCCGTTGAAAGTATCAACAGACCAAAATTCCGTTGGAATTTTCAACGAAAAATTATTCCGTTTTAATTTTCGACGGAAAAAGACCAAAATTCCGTTGAAAGTATCAACGGACCAAAATTCCGTTGGAAATTTCAACGGAAAAGTATTCCGTTGTAATTTTCAACCGAAAAAGACCAAAATTCCGTTTGAATTTTCAACGAAAAATTATTCCGTTGTAATTTTCGACGGAAAAAGACCAAAATTCCGTTGAGAGTATCAACGGACCAAAATTCCGTTGGAATTTTCAACGGAAAAGTATTCCGTTGTAATTTTCAACGGAAAATTATTCCGTTGTAATTTTCGACGGAAAAAGACCAAAATTCCGTTGAAAGTATCAACGGACCAAAATTCCGTTGGAATTTTCAACGGAAAAATATTCCGTTGTAATTTTCAACGGAAAAAGACCAAAATTCCGTTTGAATTTTCAACGGAAAAGTATTCCGTTGTAATTTCAACGGAAAAAGACCAAAATTTCGTTGAAAGTATCAACGGACCAAAATTCCGTTGGAGTTTTCCGAAAAAACCTGCTATGGAGGAAGATCGAGTCTTTATGTCACGTTACAGAGGACCTCGTTTCAAAAAAATACGTATAACTCTCGGATAGAGTATTAGAAAGGAAAAAACCATTAGATAATGAACTATTGTTCTAAGCCATCTCTAGCGATGGATCAACAATTCGAAATGCTTAAAGCGAAAACCACTTTTTTTATTTTTATTTGGTGTAACTAAGCCGGATGAAGGTAGACGTGCTATAGGAGTAACCCATTACCTTCTGGGTGGAATTTCCACAACATGGGCATTCTTCTTAGCAAGAAATTATTCTATTGTAATTTTCATCGAAAAAAGACCAAAATTTTGAAACTAATAAGTCATTATCTCTCACGAGTCATTTAGGAATACACTTTGCACCAACATTTTTACGTATTTTCATATCCATTTTCATGTGAGTACATCGGAGCATAATTTTTGTATGCTTATAACTTCATCCATTACTTCAACACTTCATCCATAACTTCACGACTACTTGCATTCTCATACGAATGTTTCAATATGTATGCGCAACACCATAAACAATTATAAATGATAGCATTCTTGCATAAAAGAAATTTATGGTTTTTCTTAATGTCTGTGATTATTTGAAAATTATCAACGGAAAAAAATTCCGTTGGAATTTTCGACAGAAAAAGACCAAAATTCCGTTGAAAGTTTCAACGGACCGAAATTCCGTTTCTATTTTTGACGAAAATATTCCGTTGAAAGTTCCGACAGAAAAAATCCGTTGCATTTATCAACGGAATTTATTGTCCGTCGATAATTTTCGATTACAATAATTATATGACAAATTTTTGACAAAAAATTTCAACGTAATTTATTTTCCGTCAAAATTTTTGACGGAATTTATTTTCTGTTGAAAATTTCCGTCTCAAACTTCAACGGAAATTCTTTCCGTCTCTATTTCAAACGAAACTATATTTCTGTCAAAAATTCCGTAACTATCTTTGACGGAATATTTTCCGTTGATAAATTCCGTCGATAATAGAGCTTTTTTTAGTAGTGTTGCTGGATTATGATGTTACTGATGAAGATCTTTCAATAATACTCTTTTTTCCCTTGTCTTGATGGTGGTTTAAAGATTTTTAGATGAATGACATTCTCTTGTAGACGTTATTTCAACATCCAACAATTGTATTTTTCTTATTTTTCCCATTTTTTTGACTCTATTCCTCTATGATATACATTCTAGAACTGAGATATTATGTTGACTCTTTCTTGTTTATCATTTTTTTCTTATGAGAAGTACTAGTGCATGCATGAATGGAACTTTCTTTGCTCTATACAATTATTATTTTTTCTTAGTATATATAGTGGGAGGCCTACAAGGCCTGTAGGCCATGGCAGGCTTTCTTATTTTTGAAAATGGGCCGGGCTTGGCCTACAAATAAAGCCTTTAATAGGCCAGTAGGTCAGATAGGCTGAATTTTTTTTACGTAGGCTTGGGCCAAGATGGCCAAAGCCCAGCCCAGCCCAGCCCATTTACACCCCTAGCGGCGCGTGAGATCATATTTCCGGATCGGACCACCGCGATCTTGATCGTCCCTTCATCCTCTTTCTGGATCTGTGCTCCTCTCTTTGATCGGACATCGTTTGGTATTTATTTGTGATTTTTTGGCTTCTTGAAGCTTTTCTTTGACCATTTTCTGTGCAGTATGGCCTCTTCTCAAAGGAGTTATTTTTCAAAATTTTATGATGGTACCTCTTCTAGACCTAAGAGAGATGATCGATGGTGTTCTTATTGTAAAAGAACAGGTCATATCAAGGATTTATGCTTTCGCCTTTATGGAAAGCAATCTATCTTAGAAAAGATGGCAAAGTTGCGTGGTCAAGTGCATTTTACTTCCTCTGAAATAACTCCTACACCTAATAAGACCCAACCTGCATTTCGTCCAGATGAGTTGGAACGGCTCCGAACCATTCTTGATTCCATGAGTAAGCCATCTGATACTAGTGCTTTGACTATGACTGGTATGAGCTCCAAAACTTATTCTTTCCTTTCTTCATGTAATGATTTTAAACATTCTTGGGTTGTTGATTCTGGTGCTACTGATCATATGGCTTGTTGTGCTGACTCCTTTACCTCTTATCATCCTACCATTGGAACTCATACAATAGCCGTAGCTGATGGCTCTCATACATCAGTTGCGGGATCTGGTGACATAAACTTACAGCAGTCCTTACATCTTAAGGATGTTCTTCATGTTCCTAAACTCTCCACGAATCTTCTTTCTATTCATAAAATTACAAAAGATTTGAATTGTACTGTAACCTTCTATCCTACCCATTGTGTTTTTCAGGATCTCGCCACGGGGAAGACGATTGGTAGTGCTAAAGAGCAAGGTGGGCTGTACTATCTGGTGTCACAATCTCCTGCAAATAAAGTAACAAATCACATCTTGATGTCTCATGGTCAATCAACTGCTGATTCTTTGATTTGGCTTCATCATAAGCGCTTAGGTCATCCTCCATTTAGTTTACTCAAATCTTTATTTCCGTCATTGTTTTTGTCTAAATCTGTTGAGTCTTTTCATTGTGATGTTTGTGAATTTGCTAAGCATCATCGTGTGTCTTTTCCTTCTAGCATTACTAAGAGTGTTGAACATTTTGATCTTATTCATTCTGATGTTTGGGGTCCCTCTAAAGTCCTTCATGGTTCTGGAAATAGATGGTTTGTTTCTTTTATTGATGATTGCACTCGTGTAACTTGGGTGTACTTAATGCGTGAAAAGGCTGAGGTACCACAACTGTTCTTTCAATTTTATAAAATGATTGAGACCCAGTTTGGTAAAAAAACTCAAGAGACTAAGAACAGATAATGGTACTGAATATGTTAATCATAGCTTTTCCCAATTTATAAGAAATAACGGTATGATTCATGAACTTACTTGTGTTGACACCCCCAACAAAATGGGGTTGCAGAAAGAAAAAATCGTCACCTTCTTGAAGTGGCTCGTGCATTAATGTTTCAGACACATGTACCCAAATACTATTGGGGAGATGCTATTCTTACTGCAGCATTCTTGATCAACCGTTTACCCACTCGGGTACTTGACCATGTAAGTCCTATTCACTCTATGACTTCTTTTTCCCTTCTATTCCAACTATGATGAGTCTTCCTCCACGAGTGTTTGAGTATGTTGCTTTTGTTCATGTTCATAAACATCATCGCAGTAAGTTGGACCCTAGGGCTATTAAATGTGTTTTTCTTGGTTATGTTCCTGATAAGAAGGGCTACAAGTGCTATCACCCTAGTAGTAGGAAATTTTTTGTTTCTATGGATGTTACATTTCAGGAATCTGAGTCCTTTTTCCAAGGTCCTCATCTTCAGGGGGAGAATCCTTCACTAGAAATCTCATCACCCCCCTTCTTTGAGTTTGAATCATCAGTGTCTACTCCTTTACCTATGTCAGTGTATCCTCCACCTGGTCCTGTTCCTCCTGTGTCTGTTCCTCCTGTGTCTGATCCTCTTGTGAGTAATCCTCCTGTGACTGATTCTCCTGTGATTGATACATCAAGTACACCAGAGATACGAAAGATTATGACACCTGAAAGAAGGAAACAACCCACATTGTCTCAGCAGCAACCTCAATCGTCTGAACCACTGGTAAGTCCTGAATCTCATATTTCTGATCATGATGTTAATACTTCTAATGACTTACCCATTACTACTGATTCTGATGATTTACCCATTGCTCTTAGAAAAAGAAAAAGAGCTTGTCCCAAGAAATCCTGTCCCTCTTGTACTCAATACCCTATCTCCCAGTTTGTTTCCTCTGCTAATCTTTCTGTGCAGCGCAAAAGCTTTGTTTCAGCACTAGACTCTATTGCAATCCCAAAATCAGTACATGAAGCCTTGAAAGATAGGAATTGGGCTCAAGCCATGCAAGAGGAGATGAATGCATTGGAGAAAAATAAAACATGGGAGGTTA